TTAGGGTTTAGGGTTATACTGTAGATAACACTAGTGATCACTAGGGTTTCGTACTATAGCTGCCTGGCCACTAGACCCTAAATCCCCACATCATCCGAGTTTCCACGTCATTAGGGGACTCCCAAAAAGGGAATTGCTCGCTCTTGGAACCCTAAACCCCAAACCCCTAAACCCCTAAACCCTTAAACCCTAAACCTTAACCCCAGGTCGGTATGAACAACTGGGAGCCTTGGTAGTTGAGTTCAGCTTCCTGTGGGCCCAGTGGTTCCCGGCGTGTAGGGCTCAGGGTTTAGGTGGCTTGGGATTTAGCACTTCAAGTTTTGGAGGACTTAGGGTCTAGCGGGCTTCGGGTTTGGCTTAATAAGCCATAAACCCTGGACGCTAGGGTCCAGGGTTTTGGGTTGGAGGACATGGAGGTGGTCCAAAATCGTGGGCCTGGAGGTCAAAATTTGCTTAATGGGGGGGTCGGATTATGACAGCCCCCCACCCCCAAACACGTACGGATCTCAATAATCCGGGGGGCCCCCAATCAAGTACGGGAAAACTTGTTTGGGGGGGATCCCAGAGGAACCCATAACCCCTAAACACTACGCCCTAAGCCCTCTGGCTTCAGGCTTGGGAAATATTTGCAATTAAATACAAATAGATCCCTTTCCCCGAATATTAAAACCCACCCCAATATATAGAATTCGAATTAAATTTCAAGTGATTTGAAGCTAGCATGCACTATTTCGTTTCTATGTTGTTATTAGTCCGTTCAGCCCGGATTTAGCTCTAATGCGACCCCCTTCATATTATTCCGTTCAGGCCTGATTTGGCTCTAATACGATCCCCTTTAGTAATCCAACCTCCCCATTAGGGGCATGAATAACTAGAACAGGGTGTGGGGCATTTTATTTTAGATCATACTTATGTAAGGGCTTTCGGGATCATAGTCCGAGTTATTCAGGCTTCTGTATGCGCTGAGCTTGGGTATTCTTACAGCTTCCAAATTGCGGCCGCCATCTTGTGCTGAGCTGCTTCTGTAGAGGGGATTTCTGCTGATTAGGTGACCTCATGTTTCACCCGATTCCGGCGAAAAGCTAAACAAAACATTTCCGGTTTTGGAGCCCATGTAAGGATCTGTCCATTCACTACGGAGATTTTGAGGAGGGAGACTTTGTGCTTGGGTTTGAGCCCCTCATTGACAAGTATGGTGAGAGCCTGGCGAACTACAAGCCCACCGGCACTTCTGGGTCGATGAAAGCGCTTGGAAGACAGCACGAAACTTGGCTCATTTCACTCAGAACCGAGGGTGTGGCGTGCAGTTGCCATATAGAGATCCCGCTCTTAATTCTTTAGCAAAAGCAAGGAGACTACCGTATCTCCACAGCACGTTGTAATTACACAAATGCCAACATCAAACACCAGCGATCATCATCATCATCATCATAATCACCATCATCACCATCATCATGATTTCATGGCCACGTATTCCATCATCGGTGGTGCGCAGTTGGAACAAGAGAAGGATAATTCGATTGCAGATGGCACAACAAGTATGGCGGCAGCAGCAGCTGCCGGCCCCCCTTCAGCGGTAGCAGCAGCCGTTGCTGCGGCAGCAGTAGCAGTGGTGACATCCGTGGCGGTGGTAGCGGTGGTTGTTTGTGTTGTTGTTGTGGCGGCGGTAGACGAGTCTAGTAGCAGGAGGAGGACGACATGAAGCCGCGTTTCCAGAGCAGCTGGGAGCCGAGGAAAGGGGCCTGGTATTTCCCTTTGCTGTTGGCTGCAAGGGTATGGCTGAGTTCCGCGTCGCTAGAGAGGACGCCTGCAGCACGCTGCTGCAGATGGCTGAGGATGGGACGAGACTAGGGTAAATGGGGGTGGGACTGCGTGGCAGATTTCATTTTCTTGACCTCCCTTGGCAGGATAGCTATCCTGATGTCAAGCATCCACTGCTGAATGACTTCAAGGGCGACTGCGCAACTGCCATCGAAACACGCAAAGTTCCCTGCATCTCCTTGGAACACGTTATTGGAAACTGGCTGGGAGGACGTGACATTTGGTTTCTGAAGGCGACGTGTGCCAAAAATGTTTGCATGTTGCAATCACTTCTACGGACTTGCCTGCTACAATCTTTTCACAGCAGCTAGAACCATGCTTTCTGCGTGGGCTTTGAGAAAAGTAGGTCCTTGCTTCGAAATCCTTTGAAGTTGTTCAGAGCGGAAGGCACGACACCTTTACCTTAGATATAAGTTTTTTTTTCATGTCTCGGAATCTTCCAGCACTTCGTAGTTTAGTTTAGACAAAGGTGCTGAGGGAGATCTTCGGAGAATGGGGTAAACATTCACGGTCACAGTTGGACAAATTCGTGGAGATCATCCGGTGATAATCCTTCTTCTCCCAAGGAACTATTGCAGTCATTCAGGCACTATCATAGTCAGCCAGGATGGCGGCTTCACACTTTCGAAGCCCCTACCTAATTCACATGATGATGTGTTCCTTTGCTGGGGTAGCAGGGAGGCCATATGTGAACCTCAAGTCTTCAAAGTAATTTCTGGGCGGGTCTTTTTCTGTCTACACTTGGCAATCTGGAATGTCATCCTGGAACATCATACCTTACTAATCTTTGTATCGTTACAGTATTATAATGTAAGGCACAATCCTATCGAATTCACTCGGCCCCCCGTCATTCGCCAAGCAACATGTTCCAGATTATCGACATGATTTCAAGCCGAACCAGTGAAGTCTCAACCCTAACCTAAACCCTAAACCCTAAACCCTAAACCCTAAGCCTTACAACCTCAACCAACCAATCCTCTCACGCCAGGTTGGTAAGCATTGGGGACAGTTGTGGAGCCCCAACTTCCTTCGAAGGGGATTTCGGGGCCCCAAGTGGGGACATGCACGATAGAAGCTCAAAGGTCCGGAAAAGGGGAAAGAGGGATCTTGTTTTGGGTCAGGTATCCTAGGAATACGACCCTAAACCCTGAATGGTAGTTTCCATGTTATTTTCCATGATCCGCTTTATACATCCCTATATAACCCCTATATAACCCCTATGTAATCCCTATAGCCCCTTGGGACCCCCAAAAAGGACCCTAAACTGCATCCTCGCAAGTCGATTGAAGGTGGATGCCGAGGGCTCTGACCTTGCCGTGGTTCAGTCAGCCGGAACCATGCTCCGGAAGATCCGATTTATCCAGGCTCCAGGAGTTTAGGGCTCAGGGTTTGGGGTTTAGGGTTTAGGGATAAAAGCTCTTTCTATTGGGGGTTTAGGGTTTGGGGCCAAGCCCTAAACCCTATATGAGCCATTATAGTAGTAGTTTCCATGTTCTTTTCCATTATCCCCACATGACCCTTAGGTTTGGGGCTTAGGGTTTAGGGTTTGGAGATCTTACTGCCAATATTGGAACCCTAAACCCTAAACCCTAAACCCCAATATTGGAGAATCAGCTGGACAAGAGCATGGACCATGGAATGGTAGCTAGGTTTCTAGGGGTATGTAAAGGTCTATGAAGAAACTCTTTTAAAGGGATTTGTAGACGTTATGTAGGGGTCATATAGGGTTATATAGGGGTTGTATAGGGACATATACATTTAGATATGATTTTGTAGGGTTATATAGGGGTTACGTAGGGACATCGAATACACTCCTGCGGAGTTATTAAACCCTACACCCTAAACCCTTTTAAGCACCCAACCCCAAACCGTAAACCCCCCAGGTGGAGGTACCAGCAAACTGCGGAGAGGTGGCTCCACAGTTTCTGAACTTCCCGAACTGCACACAGACGCTGCTCAGAAGCCTAGCGGTTTAGGGTAGAAGGGGTCTAAACCTAGGGCTTCCGGGTTTTTGGGTTTTGGGCATTGGTACCCCCCTCACCCTAAAATTCAAACCTTCCATTCTACCTGATATGGTATCCTTTAGTATGTTTGGACTAGTAAATATGAGGGCAGTGGGGGTAATGTTAGGGCATTGTCCCCAAACCCTAAACCCTATTCGTCTAGGGTCTAGAGGTTCCTGTGATGCATCAGGATCCTTATCTGGATAGGATCAAAGCCTTGTACCGGGGCACGGGGCTGTGTAATCTCCGCAGCTCGCACTCCACGGTTGACTCTGCAGTTGCCTTAATGAATTTAGGGTAGAAGAAGCGCTATGCATAATTCTTTCCCATGGAAGTGGAGCGGGTAAGGTTGAGATTCATGTACAAACATGGCTACAGCTGCACTACCGAGTGCCTGGGCTCCCCAGAGTCTTTTTTCATCTCATTTCCTGGTGTGTTTTGTTGACCTGAGTATCTGTTTGTGGCTTCAGGGCTCGAAACAAGGGATCCTTCCTTGATTTTTGGGGCTATGAGCTGGGGCCAAGAAGTAGACAGCCGTAGCAGCTTAGTCTGCGCACCACAAGCAGGGGTTTCGGATTGCACCCTGGAATCGAGTTTATGGCTTAGGGTTTACCTGTAAGCCCAAAGTTTCTAGGGCTTACTCGTAATGGGTTTAGGTTTTAGGCTTCCATTCTATTTTCTATTTGATTCTCCATTATTGGAGGCAATATCCCTAAACCGTAAGCCCTAAATGCTAAACCCTAAAATCCCTATATAGCCCAAGTAGGTCATATTCCTTACCCCTAACCCCTAGGGTTTAGGCATAAAGTCGGGATGTTGCTTGCTATGGATGGGGGCTGAAGCCCTTAATCCTTGTATCTGGTGTCCACTTGGAGGTCCATGGGTACTAATGATCTGGTGTTCTGGGTTTTAGAGTTTAGGGCTTTAGGGTTTTAGGACTTTAGGGTTTTAGGGTTTAGGTTTTTAGGGTTTCAGGATTTCGGGGTTTTGGGTTTTAGGGTTTTAGGGTTGAGGCTTTAGGCTTTCTGTGAACTGGACTTTTTACCCATCTAGAAGCCCCTTCGTCCAACAAACATAGATAAATTATAAGTGCAGGTATAAGTTATTGGGTTTTAGGTACACATGGACCTCCAAGCAGGTATCAGGGAGAAATGGTTTACTGCGGCCGCTCTCTCACGAATCTGGGATTGAATTGGAGCGTCTCTTCTTTTCTGCCCTGAACCCTTTTTTGATTATCCAAAAATGCTTACCCCTTAAGAATGCGCCCCTCCTGAAATTGATTGTTGCAACATCGTATCGCGACATCTGGGGGAATGCTCATTACCAGGGGAGGCGTTTCTTACCAGGAGGAGTGGATAAGCCTGGACAGTTATTTTCCCTAAGCCTGACATTGGGTGATGTCCCAAACCCTACACACTAAGCCGGGAACCCTGTCTTCAGGAACTCCATCTGCAGCTACTGCGATGGTCCTCATTTCAATTTGTTGTTTACACGAATCCCGCGAACCGGTGAGGACTCCTGAGTGCAGAGCGTGAAAAAGTGCCATGCCTAGGCTTTGTGGTTCTAAGGCTTGGGGTTCAGGGATTTAGGGGTGCAGGGGATTAGGGTCTAGGCTCCCAAGGACTAGTTTTCAATCAATTGGGTTTACGTAGGGATACTGAGTTGTAATTGGGGCTACTTCAGGGCGAGCCTAGGGGATAGTATATGGGGGAGGCTATGACCTAGGCAAACCGATGAATACCTTGAACCTTCAACCCTAAACCCTAAGCCCTAGACCCAAACCCCTAAACCGCATTTACCTAAGTCTGAGGGTCCGGGGGGGGGCCCACTGCGTCAAGAGTATGTCTCATGTTTCTTGTCAAAGTCTTCATTGCGAGGGGCCCATTCTCAAGATTCCTTCCGAAGATTCGTGGCGCCAAGGCGTTACGCACCCTCATGTTGGCATGGATCCCCAAACCCTAAGCCCCCGGAAGCCTAAACTGTGCAGTAATCATCGTTGCATTTGAGGTTGAAACTGGCGGTAGGGCAGGGCTGCAAAGTCCTCCAATACGTCCTGAATGCGGAAGATCCAAAACATAGATCTGACCAAGTGAAATCTACTCAGGAACTATGCTTCTTGGTTTGAGGCAATCCACCGACATGCTCAAGTCTGCCTTAAGCCATGTACTCCTCATCAGAGGCTACCTCTTTGCAGCACTACAGACACATGCGCCTGCACCATTTCACCCTCTGAGCAGGAATGGTGCCACCAGATCTATAGATCCTAGAGCTTTACCCCCGTATTTTCTACAGCACGCCCTCGATGAGCTGCAGCTGCTACAACTAAAGCCAAAATGCGACATTTTTAACTTAAAGACTTAGGTGTAAACTAGAAGTTCCCTGCAACCACTCCGTGATCTCTGTTATTTATGACCCTGAGAATCAGCTGAAATTATCATTTTCGCCCCGTCCAGGGAAGGTAGACTAAATCCCCCCGCCTTGATACCAAAATATGAACCTTCAATGGTTGAAAGCCTCAAACAACAAGCACCCAACTGCTAGCGTTTAGGGTTTAGGGAACCCTGAGCAACATCGTAGCCCGGACGACAGCCCAACTCCTGAACCCCAAAGACTAAGATCTGAAGCCCTCAATCCCCAAAATCGTACCTGAAATCCCCAATACTAATACTAGGAACAAGGAGCACTACGCCCAGAGTTCATAATCTCCTAATCCCAAGATCCCTACATCCTAAACCCTAAGCCCTAAATCAAAACCTTAAACCCTCCGTTTGAAAGCGCTCTGTGGCCTCGCCATGGAGAAGAGCGGACTTCTTCTGCCCACGATATGGAGAACATCCAGGCTGAATGCCTGATGAGGGTTGCAGCTTTAGGGACTACTGCTTGATGACTTGTCGGGTTTAGGGTTTCGGGGTTTCGGGGTTTAGGGGTTAGGGGTTTAGGGTTGATTCTTCATGGATGTTTTGGGGATTTATGCAGGGGTTCGTCTCGGGCTCCCGGTTTGGATCTCAGTGTGCTTGTTGGGAGCATCGCTTGTCGATTTCTGCGTTTGGGCAGTTTGTAGGTGATCATGGTAGCACATCTGAGGGCGAGGATGTCTATTTGCTAGTCCCCCGGGACTTCTTGGAAGACACCCCTTTCTTTAACCCACAGGGCCGACGCCTATCTTTTCAATTCTCCGTAACACCTCCCAGGGTATCCCCTTGTCGTGGAACTCTCCTTCGTTGCATTAT